CCATGGACTAAAACTGTGAGACAAAATAACCTTTTCCTTTATTAAATTGATTTTTCTCAGGTATATTTTCATAGTGATGGAAATCTGACTAACAGAGAGAAAATGAACATAAAACTATGTACCTCATGCTGGGAACATAGTTCAGTGGAAGAACACTTACTTGGCATGCACAAAGCTCTGTGTTTGATCTCTGACACCACAGATGAAACAAAACAGAATAAAACCCCAAAACTATGTACATAAAATTAAGGGCAAAGTAGAAAGATGTCCCAGAAAATTGAGGGGCTTTAAAGCTTAAGTTTCATTAGTTTCATTGTAAATTTATTTGACTTCACTTAATGTCAATACATTATAACAATATACGTGTAATAAGCAATCTGTTGCCTATTGTTTTTTTCTGCTCCTAAACAATGACTATTTCTTATCCTATTAGCAGCTATTAGTTCCTTTTATGTAATAGTTATGTATGTACAAATATGTAATTAACTTGCTATCCTCTTTATCATAGAAGTCATGAAGAAGAAACTCTCAGATATGTTTTAAATTATACTTTATAATAGAAAGTTATTTGTCAAACATGAATTAGCTCCCTTTCCTTTGGGAATAGGAGTCCAAATTTCCTCTGCTTATCTATCGCCCCATCATCTGTGGATAGGCAGATAGTCAGATCCTGACTCTATCTCTGGCACCAATCACAGGAAATGATACTCCATCTTCACAGCACACCTCATCCCTCTTAAATAGCACCAATAGGATAGAAGAGATTTTCTGTGATTTCTGAGAAAAAAAAGTTTCATTGTCTTCTAGCTATGTGGTATAATTCCCTCTTTCCTTTGGATTATATGATGTGAGGTAGAAAACTACTGCTGTCATCTTGCTACTAAAAGGAGTGTCTGGAACTACTGGGGGCTATCAGTGGAAGATGAGTATGTGGTCCAGAATGGCTGAAGTCAGAGAAGAACAATGGAAAGAACAAGGTCCTTGGAGGTATTATCTGGATCACTGCCGTGAATCTTGCTGAAAACCAAACCTTCTCAATTTTCCAGTTATAGAAACCAGTAATAGTGATTTCTTGTTCAAACCAATTTGAGCTGAGTTTTCTAAAACTTCATTCAAGTTTCTGAACTGATACAACAGAGAATTTCATAAAGCCAGTGTAACACTGGGGTAGTATTAAAAAATATTCATTTTATGACTGTACATTTTATAGTTTTGAAATTATTCATATGATAAAGAATCTAAAAATTATTTGGAGTCCCAAATGTTTATTGAAACAAATTCTAGAATTATTCAATGGTAGAAATTATTATTTAGACTAGTATTTCCAATTGTCTTTTATGATGAAGGGGATAGCAAATTAATTATGTATATATTTGTAAATACATAGACATTACATAAAAGGAACTAGTAGGTGCTAATAGGACCAATCCTGAAGAAATGTTCATTGTTTAGGAGCAGAAAAAACCAACAGGCAACAGATTGTTTATTACACATATATCGTTATAATGTATTGATATTAAGTGAAATCAAATAAATTTACCATGAAGCTAATGAAACTTAAGCTTTAGAAACAACTACTTTTGTTGTTAAAAATCTTTTAGAATATTCTTGGTCAATAATATTCAATTATTCTTGTTCTTCTTTGAGCTTTTAAAAAAGTGACGAATTCTCCAATAAATTTTCCATCTGCAGTATTGAATATCTACAAGAATAGGTCTTCTTAGTAGGCATCTCTTAACTACAGTAATACTGCACCACAACAGGTTTTCCTTCCAATTATATTATTATGCTTCAAATGTCATTTTCCCATTAGGCATTATAATAAGATATATTTTCATACATTAAAATCTTGTTTATTAATGGTTTTTATACAGGATAGTCTTGGGTTTCTAGACCATTTGTAAGAAGTTCCTATTAAGAAATTCAATGAAGCATGGGAACAATAAAAGAGTAATTTATTAACATATCAAGAGGCTTTAATTTGCTAACACTTTCCCATCATGTTAGTGTGACAGAAAATAAAGAACAAATTGCTAAAGCATGGAATGTTGAGGAATTGAAAAAAAGCTATCTATCTTCTAATTCAACTGCTCACAACATGAAGTGCCCCATAATTGCACAAGTATAGTTTGTATTCACCTTACCTAATTTACGTAGGCTCTGTTTAACTTTGTCACTTATTTAACACTATGTAAAATAGGAAGGGCAAATGTGAATCACAAAAGGAAATGCTCTGCCAATGAAAATACATATTAAGCAAATCAGTCTAAGAAACTTGAAGAATGTTACATCCTCCAGTTGCTTTAGAAATGGTGACTTCCTCATTAAATTTTCTCATCTTTTCTATGAAAAAACTAAAATTCTGTTACTACTAGAAAATATTTTATTAAATGTCTTTTATAATCCATATTAATCATAATGAGTGCCATATTTTCTTTGGCTGTGTTAGTATTTCAAGTGTATGTGAATCTAAATGTCTCAAAGTAGTTGAGCATGCACTCTCCAGTGGGGTACAGTCCTCAACACACCCAGGTCCCCAGTGCTGGCCTCATGTTTCTGTTAAGTCTCCAAGTTCTCACCTTTGTCAGGACTGAACTCCCCCCACAAAGCTGTGACTACTTTATTCACTCCTATGCTCTTGTCTACCCAGAACAGAAGTACATCTTCTCAACATAGTGTTTGATAAATATTTGTTGACTAAATGACTGAGTACATAAATAAAGGAAAGGAAAGAATTTTGGTCTATAAATTTCTTTTCACTCTGATATTTCATTTGATTTCAAAACAAATGAACCTTTCTCTGTTAAAAGAATCTTAAATAGCCATAGTAATGGTCAGCTTATGAGATTTTAACTCAATTTATCATGCTCCTTGAGAATCTACATTCTAAATTTTCATCTTAAATATATCTTACACACACACACACACACACACACACATGCACACACACATACACACATACTTTATAGGGCCTAACATATAATAACTGTTCAATTAATAGAACTACTTTAACAGTAGTTCTTATATTGATGTGATGTGCTTTATGCCCATATATCACACTTCAACCTTGGAAGTCATGCCCAAAATGCATATCATTCAAACATATTAATTACAATAGTAGTAGCAAATATTTGTCATCATTATTTGAAAGATATTTCCAAGTATATGGCCTATGTCAGTGATTCACAATTAAATTCCCATTATTAGTGCTAGCTAATAATGATGTGCTGAGCACTGTTCCAAGTTATCCATGCTTATTACTGCATCAACTTCTAACACTGACTTTACTAGTATTGTTCCCCATTACACAGCTGAGGAAACTGAGGCAGAAATAAAGTATATAACTTTGTCTAATCCCCACAGCTGACAAGTGGCATAATTAGGATCTGAACGCAGGCAGTCTAGCTCCAGTGTTCTCGTTCCTAACCACTATTTACCGATACTTGTGTAGGTCTCTCTGTAAAATATAGTACCTTATTATTCAATTTTGTGTTATTTAGATAATAAGATGGCAGCCCCTATGAATTACTGTGCTACTGTTTACATGAACTTGAATAATTACTTACATATGGTGAATATTAAGTATTTTTGTTCTGTTGAATCTCAATGGAAAAATTGCTATATGTGCCAGCATATTAAGATTCAATTCCTAGCAATTTTTAACCAGCTATATAATTCAATAAGATGTTGGCAAACTGATCTATTAGGTCCCTCAGGAACCTATAATATCATAACTAAAATTAGGAGTGAGATAGTAACTAAGATTTGATAAGGAAGTCACAAAAAAGAACTAGAGAGTGAATAACATATGAGAATATGAAAAAATTATTAAACAACCTTCAAAACCAGGCTAAGAAAAATTCCATGTATAATCATAACTACAATTCATGAAGTGTTTCTATTTGTCAAGTACTGTTACATTCTTTAAATGGACATGACATTTGACCTTAATAACTAAATGAGGTAGAAAAGTGTTACATTATTATTATTATTCTCCTTTCACATATGGGCTAAGAGAAATTGGTTTTAGGTCACACATCTAACATAGTAGGATACAGAACTTCAGCTTGGATAGGTCTAGAAAAGACATAGGAGAAGGCATGCTAAGTTAAAAAAACATCTGTGGGATTATTTTTACATTGATATTTCCCTGATTCATAGGGTTTATGCGGCCCTGTTGATAAGCCCCTTAAAACTGCCCCTCAAAACCTTCTTTTAACCTTTTAACCTTCTGTGGACTGCTAACCAGACAACCAAGTTTGGTAGAAAACAGAAATAATTTCAAAGTGAATAGGCTGTGTTTAAAATACATAAACCTCTGGGCTTGGTCCATGTCCTAAAGCCATTACAGACTAGACACCATAAGATATGTATAAAATGTAGAATTTAGATGCTCACGGAGCATGATTCATTGTATTAGCTATCAGCTTAGGCTACAAAGCAGCATTTTGGGCTTAGTTCCCAGTTCTTTGCTGCATTTCAAAGAGTTTAGCATCCCACTTGTTTCTTTTTGATAGATGAGCTGAATCAAGCCAAAATTTGCTTTTCATTTTTGTCCCCATTATTTCTTGCCATTTTTAAGATCATATCTTCTCTTCTCTCCTGCATCTAAACAGACCCTTGATAAACTCACTTGACTTTCTTTAAGTACTCCCCTTAATACAAAATACTTAATAGTGTTTATGTATTTTATGGTTAAGATAGCATGCCTTATCACCTATAATTTGCCATCATGTTTTGCATTGTCATTTCTAAGAAATCTCTTGCTACATTTGCTCCTTTTTAAACACCCATTTCATTTTGCCTATTAGAATACTAATTTATCTCCTTGTAGTTTAAATCCTATGCTATGTATTGATGAGACTTAGACATTGACTACAACAGGAGGAAACAACCAGGTTTACCTTCTTAGAAATGTTAATTGGATATACACACTTTGATCAAAATCCTTTAAACTACAGCCTTATGAAGAAAACTGACTACTATATATTTAAAGTTACCTTTGATAGATCCCTGAAATTTCCTGGAAGAGTCAGGTCCAATTCTTCTGATTCATAGTTTGTTAACACCCATGGAAACACAGGATATTGGTTCAGATCATTATATGTCCGTCCTAGTGAAGAAAATGAGAAAAAAAAATTGTATACACTAATTGATTTGAAATAGTTTCTGTGCTTATAATAAGACAACTACTGATTTTCAAATTTAAAGTTGTTTATTGAACTCTGTGTTTAATCAAAAGCACTCAATGTGTTTCAAATGAGTTCTCTGGATACTTTTAAAAAGAGTAACTAGAATTACTATTTGTAATGGAAGATTGTGATTTACATTTGAGACTGCTGGCTGTTTATCAGAATTGATTTTCTTCTTCCTGGTCTAGCCTCTCTTACAAAGAGCTCTGGCTGTGGGACTTTGTTTCAACCTATAGGCTGTGCACAGAGGTGATATGTGACACCTCCAAGAATGGCCCACTGAAACTTCCCACATGCACCTCCATGTCTTTGCTGCCTACATGTTAAAAAGATAATGTTGCCTTAGAAGCAAAACACTGTCAGTCAGGCACCCTGCTGGTGTCATGAGGGAGGCCACCCTGCTGACCTGCACACTACAGGCAGCTTATGTGGTAGCTCATTACCTTCTGTAATGAACATGTATCTGAAGTTATATTCCCAGTACACAGAGTCCTAAGTTTTTATCAAGAGTCAAGTACTAAGTTTTTTTCAAGAGAAAAAAGTGTATGAAATAAAGTATGAAGAAAAAAAAAAAAGAGTCCATAGAGAGAATCTAGCAATGAACAGTAGTGCCCTGAATCTAGGATGAAAAAGTACAGAGACAAATATCAAACACCCCCTACTTTAAGTTAATTAATTTTCTTTTGATAATACGTTGTTTAACTTCAGTGAAGAACTACTGGACTATTGGGTTGTCTGTTTTGGTAGAAAAAATTAAATATTTTAGATAGGATACTGAGGTATAGTGGGAATGTGGAAAGTTTAGCAATTCTCATTACTGGTTCCAATAATTAACTGATACTGAAGTAATATATGACCAGAGGAAATTAAGACTCATTAGCAAAGAAATAAGGTACAACAAAATTTCACTGGACAAGATCCTTTTTGTGAACAAAATATTTTGGTGAACAATCATAAAAATCCTTTGTGAACAAAAAAGCTAAGTAAAGAAAGGAATTGTAGAACGTTCGTTTTAGAGAATTAGGATTATGCAAAGGCACAAAAGTACAGTGAGAGAGGACCACTGTCGATATGTACATTTAACTAGAAGAAAATGTTTGCAGCTGGATGGATCAACCAATGAATGAACCTATTCTAAGTTTATAAGCTTATCATGAAAAATAATATTAATGAGTAAACAGAATTTGGAGTCTTCAATTTAAATCTTTTGTACAAAAAATGTTCTGCTGAAGCAATACTATTACTATAAAATAGAAGCTATACAATTCTAAAATTTAATATTCATTACTGAAAGGTAATATATATCTATATCTAATCTAGAACACATGATCATTCTCAGCATTTATTTATATATGTATATATATCCAAAGAGTATAGATTGACCATGAAGAGCTATTTGGGGGATTCTAAATGGATCCAAGGCAAATTTAGTACTTGGCTATTTTCTGGGGAAACTGTTCCACTTAAAAATCTATAAATTTAATAAAAAGTAGGTCTTCTAGTGTTTGTGTTATTTTCTAGAATAATGTTGATACCATACATAAAATATATATTATTTATATAAGTGAAAATGATAGATGGAAATTAGTTTTTACAAATTCTTAAGAATATTTTATAACTTACTAAGGAATGTTTGTCAAAATAACTAAAAACCAATTTACATTAATTCAGTATTTAACTGTTTATATAAATGTCAATAGTAGGAAAATAGATACCATGATGATACTAATTTTGGAAAAAACACGAAGAAAAGAAAACATCATTTCTAAAACATACATACATATACCCAAAATGGTTGATGCTAATAATCATAGCTTAGGATTGTCTATGTGTCCTACATTTTTTTTGTAAGTCACTTTTAATAATCTTTGGAGGGGTCTCTGATAAAATGTTTAGGAAAATGTAGTAATTTTTAAATTAGGAGAGCTTTATAGCACTATTTAAGTTCTAGTAAATACATTAAACTTTATAAGTAAATAGAATGGCATTAAAACCTGTTTTTAATAAAAATTTCCACAAAAATTCTTGCAATATGGATAGTCAAGATAACTTTTGATTTGAATTTAAAAAATGCACAATGGGGCTGGGGGTGTGGCTCAAGCGGTAGCGCGCTCTCCTGGCATGCGTGTGGCCTGGGTTCGATCCTCAGCACCACATACCAACAAAGATGTTGTGTCCGCCGAGAACTAAAAAATAAATATTAAAAAAA